TGATTTGCTGTCTGTCTGAAAACATCAATAAAAATATTGGAGATTTCATCGGTTGGAATGCTTTCTCCCTTTTTCGATGATAGGAGGAGTACAAAAAAAATTTGTAATCATCATGTGCCGAAGTAATTACTCATGTTGTAATGGTGATTTGGAAACATCTTGACAAGTAATAGCGGTTTATTGTGACTTTACAAACGGGTAGGGGTTTAACCCGAAAGATGTTTAAGGCATTAGTGGGGCTCAGTAGGTGTTCCCTGAAAGGGGACACAGGGTGTTTATTTCCCTATGTATTAGGGAATGAGAACTCAGACCCTAAAAACCTGAGAGGGAATTTAGAGACTCGCATTATAATGGCAGACATTGATTAATCGAAAATGTTGAGAATATTTGAATTCTACTGACAGAAGATCCTGATACATTAGGCATTAGCTATCACTTTTTATAAATGACATTTTCTTTCTGACTAAAATTTCGTTAAAATCCTAAGTAGACTATTTTGGGATCATTAGAGATCTCCACTCACAAATTAACCCTTGTATAATTATAGGTTGTACTTCTAAATTCTCTAAAGCTAATTGATGAAACATTAATTTTTTTTCTTCTTTTTTTCTGTGATATTTGGTTTCAAGTATGTTTTGTATTCTTTAGAAATTTGTTCGAAAGCATATTAGAACTGTCGAATGTTATGATTCTGAAGGTAATGGTTTTGGCTCTTGGCATGATGGGTAAAAATCAAAAGGCAACTGGAATGGATACATATTTCTAATAGAATCGAAATATACATAAAATGTGGATATTTATTTTTCTTCAAATACGTAACTGATGTATAACAAATTCTGATTGGAGAATATGACCATCTTGTTCGATACAACTCTTTGCATTGATAGCTAATACGGAAATAAATCATCTATCAAATAAACTGTTTGAGGCTGGCCAGATAACTGCATGCGTGTTGTTTATGACATGTAAGACTCTATTATTCTTGTGTAAAACAAATGCTATGTGGTTTGATATCGCTTTGTTTTCCATAGTAATCTTAGTCCTAATGAAAGAAGCATCTCTTTGACCTAGATCATAGTTATCAGCTCAGGGAAGATGAAAGACTTGTAAAGAATGGATATATGTGTGTAGTTAGGGCGTACTTGTCTATATAGGTATGATAACACTTCAGGCCTTAGGTAAGTAAATGATATACATCTATTTATTCTCTGATTATAAAATGTAATTTGTTGACCAACAATTAATGTTTTCTTTGTTCTATGGCACACAGAAGGGTAGATTAGATTTCAAATGAAGTTGGTTAAGTGGTTCGATGAGGACTTCAGACAGACACTCCATAACATCAGACAGACTGCAAACAAAACCTCTGATGTAACGCGAAATGTCTAATGTCTTAGTCCTGTGAACGTTTGACATTCAAGATTAAACAATTAGGGTCGGGTGTTTTTATCAAATCTCCTCAAGTTGACCTGAACAGTAAGATAATAGTTCAATATGGTATATATCAGCAAAGAAAATCCAGTTAGGACCAGAATCTGTGTTTCATGATGGCTTTGATGTATCATAGTATATACACAAGGTGGTGTTGTGTTAGAATGAAGATTCACAGATATCATAAATATAGATGTTGAAAGAGTTTGAAGTTGTAGGTCTCTGAGTGGGAATCAAGTTACAAAGAAATAATTTCACAATACAGAGACACTTTGTAGTGACCTATATAATACAATATCTACATATTGTTGATATCCCCCTCCCCATCCTCCCTCCCCCTCAATCAATGCGGTCTTTTCTTGTCCCTACACTATTCTATCTATTTTCTGTATCATTGATATCTCCTTTTACTGATGGCTTTTATTTTCCTTTTGAAGAATTAGTTTACTTATAAAAGACAATGGATTGTGGTAAACAAGACAATATTGAAAGTTTGATTGATTTAAAAAAACACTCTGCTTTAAATCTGAAATAAAGTAAACTGTTTGGACAGAAAAACTTCCTCACATGTACTTTTCAAAATCAGTTTCTTCAAAGAATTATAAAGAATAACTCATTTCATTGTCTCAAAAAGTAATGGAAATTTCTAATTTTGGCATTAAATTATAAATTAGCAGGATTTCATTATGATGTTGAACAATTAATTAGCACATTTAAATTTTCTAATTCATTTTTGATAAATTAATCAGTTTTAAGTATTAAAGTACATGGATACATCTGGAGGGGATGGTTTTACTAAGTGATGTACAGCATGGAACAATCGCCCTGGTGAAAACTTGGACATAAACAGTAACAAGGAACACAACACAAACAGATTTATGAGACAAATCGCTGAATTGCTCGAATGGAAAATATTGTTTTGAATTGGCGATGCAGATGGGTTTTGACGTTAAAGGTGCTAAACCAAGCCTCTGGGCTACAATGTTAGGATAGGTGACGGTATGGTTTTGACCAAAAAAACGTGATAGAACGAATATGACCCAACCAATTATACCGAGATGGCAGATTGTAGATTTCTTTTAATTATCGGAACTGAGGTGTGAAACCGGCAAGTAATCATTGCGACAAATTAAAGTACATTGAAGAAAATGAAATTACTGATGAAGATATTCATTAATGACTCCCAGCTTGAAGATTAACAGAGGAAAATGGTCGTATACAAAAAATAGATTGCTGGTATTGTGGCTTTTTGGTCCAATGTTGATGAGAAAGGCTAGGCGTAATGATCTACTATGATAAATGTTCGCTGATGTGAATTTAAGCCGTAGGATTTTCCTTTGTTACAGTAAATGGCTGATTGTACTCAAGTCCGGGGATAACAAATCTGTAATGTTTCCTAATAACAGTCAGTAGCCAAATCGGCTATCTAAGATTCGTAATTTGATCAATTTCCTTCAAACTTGTGAAATGACTGCATTTGATATTGACACCATATAAAAAGCAGTTGTACTTTAATGGGTTTCGATGCACTCTATTAGAAAATTATATGATTAAGAAAATTCATTAAAATTTCTTGCCACATTTTGATTTGGAAAAAAAAAAGAAAAAAATACGCAAAAATACTTCTGCCAATTAAATTTCGCAAAGCTCAGCAGATTTGGCAATTTGGCACAGTCAAAGTTTACCGAAATTGCAATGTCTTATATTATATTGTTTAACTTTTTTTGTACGTGTAACCGATTGCATTGATCCTTCTGTCAGATATACACAATGTATTTAAAGCAATGAATGCATTTTGGGTGCAATTTTGAATGATGTGTTTGGAGACCCTTGTAACCTTAAAGTACGTTGTATACCTGAACTAAACACTTATCAGTGCCCAGACTTCGCCCTATGTCTGTGTGATTGTCTGTCTTATCTGACTCCACCGGGTGTTGTCTATTGCAAAACAATTGATGTAGATATATCATTTCAACACTGTTTCACAATATCATTTACCCCTTATTAGTTTTAAATACATGCTATTATTGTTAACTAAGCCCACGGTGCATATCCCTTCTAAATAAAACTTCTTGTTTAAATGGATTCTGTCAAGTTCCTTAATAACCCCAAAAAATGATGCCATGTAAAGATTTTCCAGTCCACTCCCCATGTGCTATAGCCTGTATCCATGTACGAGGTATATATAGATATATATAGACTTTGACATTTTTAAAATCTGAAACCAGTGTATGTATGATTAGAAAAAAAGGTTCAGACATTCCAAACTACAGGGACTTGATCGGGGAGATCAGTGAAATAGATTACCCCACACAATACCGTAATTACGTAAGTTAGTTAACAGAGTCGCTTCATAACTTCATGGATCATAGGATTTATCAGCTCATAATGTCCATCAGATAATTAGTTCAAACATGTTAACGATGTTTTTTGTTTAATTGTGGAATTTCATTAAGGGGTTGGATGTTTGATGAAAACAATGCTGTGACAGTCAATTCATATGTTTTAAAAGATCAAATTTTTAAAAATATTTATTTACATGGGTAACAATTAAATCAAATATGAACACTACGTTAATTAAATTATAAAACAATACAATAGTTTGATCTATCAGGACTTAAGTGGGTGATATTGTGAATTATTTCAAAATAGATTTACAATGAATGTATTTTCTATAGCATTTGAAGAACTTGTCAGATAGGAATTAAATAAAAAATAATTAAAAGAATGTTGAAATAGTCATTGTCATTATCTTTTGAAATGCTTCAGAATTTAGTGCAGTTATGAGAGATGAGTTTTTATTCATGATATATATGTGGCTTTAATGACAATTTAAACCATACTGGTAAATACATACATGTAAAATCCCCATAAAAACAAGCAGGTCCTTACAGATTTGACACCTTGCTGTTTGGAATATAAACAGTGCTTTTCCCTCCAAAACAAACATTGTCAAAACCAGAATGTCAGTTTTTATTTTTTATACCGTGATATATAATGGGCCCAAGTATATATTTCTTCATAATGAATACAGGTGACATTTCTCAGGTGAGACAGTGACACCTCACTTGACAAGATGTCTGTTAAATCAGGGTGTCAGAAAGACAAATTACCTACATGAAAAAGACTTTGGCCATATAGTACAAATTTCAATATTTTTTCCCATATTCTTCTTCTTAATTCACATAATAAGAAATAACTGAAACTAAATTTTGTTTTGGAACTACCTTGATGTGATTTACAATCAAAATTCACCTAATTGTATAAACTTGATTAATATCAAATTTTGAGTTTTGATATTTTATTGGCGAATTCATTACGCACTATTGTGAGTTAATGCCCTTGATCAGTGATGTACTCACCCCTAATGTTACAACAACACTCATTTCCCTTTACCAGTTAATATTTCCATTAGTCAATTATACCAGTCCTCTTTAAAATGCCAGATCCTTACCTGACAGATGGCAAGTAGCAAGTATTACTTCAATCATATGTAATATATTCAAATATTTGAAATGAAGGTGCGAGGTTACACTTTTAAATTTTTTTCGTTTCTTTTGTAATTTCAGAATGACAAAGATGGTTACACAGAGACAGTTAGTGTAAAGACTGCGGTACACATGTTTGGTGGGGAGGCAAAAATCCGAAAGTTACCAACACCGTCTCCAGAAAGATCCCAAAAATCTGCTACAGTGAAAGAGCTTCGAGCCATTAAAGAAGGATCAGATTGGGTCAAACGAGGGGGGCCATCACTCCACAACGGTGAGGATATTTGTATGGATTACTCAGCCCCCCAGGATCACGATATCATGGATTATCCCATTCGTGGAACATTCTCGCCACTTACTGACGGAGGCCAGGTTAAGTTTACAGATGAATCTGCGACAGAGTTGTCGTTTGTTTTTGGTCGGCCTGCATCTCCAGTCAGTGATCGGAGTATGCAAAGGTGTATGTCTCCACCAAGTGCGAGGAATCAACAAAGATGTCTGTCGCCTGAAAGTGATCGCAACCCCCAAAGGTGTAAATCTCCTCCGCACGAAAGAGGTCTACAAAGGTGCATGTCGCCACCTAGTGGGAAATATCAACAAAGGTGTTTATCACCTGAAAGTGATAATGATCCCCAAAGGTGTAAATCTCCTCCCAAAGACAGGGGCCCACAAAGGGGAATGTCACCCTTAAGTGATCGTGGCCCCTCCCGTTGTCGCTCACCTCCGTCTCAGGAGAGACGTGCCTTGTCCCCATCTTCAGATGTGACCCCAGCCAAACGTCCAAGTGGAGTCTATGAGAATTCATTTGTGTGTTCAACCCCACCGTCGGGTAAAGGAGTCAGCTCTAAATATGCCCCAGGGATATATGACAGGGTTGTGGTTCACCTACCCCCAACGGGGCGAGGGGAGAGGTCAGGTCCCCGCGGAGGAGGGTACTGTCAACATTGTAATAACTGTCTGATCCACTTTAAGCGCCAAGCCTTCCGTTTGCTCTGCCCAGAGGGAAATCGAATCAGCCCTGTTATCAAGGTAAGTCAGGAAAATACTTTTGAACATTACGACAAGATTAGAAACGCAGCCTTACTTATTGATTTCAGCTAAAGGCTGTGGCCATTCAGAAACTTAAGACAAACTTAGGACACATTTGTTGACATAATTACAAACTTGGAAATTCAGGAAAACATTCAAAATTATGGAAAAAAATTGATGATATTTTTGTCAGTCAATTTCACAGTAATAAGAAGATTAAATGATTTTCCATCTGAAAGGTTTCCATGTACTTTAGGAAGCTGTATAGACAATTCTGGCTTCAGGTGTACAAACAGACGTGACTCTAAGTTGTACCTATGTACTCAGGTAACTTGTAATTAACGACTGTTGGATATACAGGTATTAGTATTCAGCTGTTCTTATTGTCACACAAGGTCACCTGAGGGGATCAGTCACTTTCTTGGCATTTTCTTCGTCGTCTTCCATATTTCTGATAGATGAACAGCTGTACTTCCTAATAGTACTGTCATTATTACTAACGTTGACATATTGTGTATAGTTTTCTTACTAGCCGTGGACTTTGTTGTACAGAGTAGTTTTATTGTCCATTGTAGGTGGTATATTATCATAATTGTCGTTTTCTTGTTTTATTACATTTTGCAGGTGTGCCTATTTTATCAGTTACTAGATTTATCTTGCAATAAGCCCATGTTTAGTAATAAGCCCCTGTCTGGTAATAAGCCCACACACATTTGCAGTTTCAGCAAAAATTAAACCAGCCTTCTATGAATTAAGGCTGGGTCATGGGTAATTGACTGCCTTTGCTTGTCCCTTAATTAGCACAATGGAGTCTCATTTCAGGGGAGACCACTTGAAGTAATCATTGTTCTTTCTGGTTCAAATTTAGAACACTCTAAGAGGCTTATTCATTTTTCATGAAATGGTCCTGTCGTTTCTTAAAATAGCATTCAAGGCTGTGATACTTTTCAATATTTCAAACTCTTTGTGTCTTAAACGATCTTCCGGAGTTTCACAAAATGTTAGTCAATCTAGATTTGTCAAAACTACTTGTACTTCAAAATATACTCTCTGGTCTTTGCTCTTCTTTGAGTAGACATCTCTTGAAAAAGGAGGGGTCAGTATTGAGTTTGAACCCTATCCCTGAGGTCTTAAGCCAGACATATGATAGGGAATGAACTGACCTGCTGACTATTTGTCTGTTCTGTACGTGTCTTCAGGGAATTAAATTATACATCAGTGCAATGATGTTTTTGAACTGTATGTGTGGTTTGTCTCTCTTTCTAAGCTTTTGAATAGCTCTGAAGACTGGTAAAAAATGGACTGTACCTTACTTTGAACCCAAGATTAAAAAATGAATTGACAGCTTGCACTGTCAAAGGTTTTCTATCGTAGGTTGAGATTTTCATTCACAGATAGTTTCAAGGTGTTGAAATTGACGATGTGTACTGATATATCTTTGTGACTGTTAGATTTCATCTTATGAAACCTAACAATCACAATGACACAAGTTTACTTACTTCAATTTCAGTATATTTACTTTAACAGGAACAAAGCATTAACTGATTTGACTGTGAGTTCATATATATACATCAAGAAATTTTGTGCTCATGCAGATGATGTCTTGTCATACTTGCTATTTTGTTACTTTTACAATGTCATTGTGTTGGTTTTAGCTGTACAGCAAAGTTTGACATCCTACACAGATAAAATTAACTTTGTGAATATCTCGAAAATACATCTCAATGATCATCTCAATGTGAAGCTCTGATTAAGATACTGTTCAAACAGATATAGATTCTTAATACACCATTGATGAACTTCTAAATTGTACTTATAAACTTCATTTTCTGCTTCGGCTCATTTGCCAAACCCTAGAGTAATAAAGGCAATACAATGATTGGTGATTGGGAAAAACTACCCAATCAAAGATCAATGGATGCTCTGCAATAGCTATGTATACTTTAAAGCAGTTTAAAGACTACCAGGCCTTGGGCTATCACGACAGACATTGTAAACAGGCAGTAATTTGTGAAAGAAGTGTTTGATGGGGATGAAAATGACTACACGATTATGCTACCTCTTATAGTTTAGTTTCCTTGGTGAGTAATATTAGGTCTGTATCAGCTAATTTATAGACAGTGTTGCCATACTTTTGAGTCCTTTTTAATCAATGGGTAAGAAATCACTTTAAACATCTTTTATGAACATTTTTCTTCACAAATTTCATTCATAAAATCATGCCTTTTGTGTAGTAAATTGCAGTTTCAAGAGCCTCGTGATCCTTTCGTTTTGTCCAAGCCGAATTTTTTCATAGGCTGACAGACATCAAATAGGGCCGTTATCGTATACTAGTCAATTTACGATGAATAGAAAAAACGAATTTTTACGTACAGAATTTGAAAAAGCAATTCACAAGGCAACCATGAATGTTCACGGTTCACGACTTTTATACTTATAACTCATATGAAAGTGAAGGAGTGTTGGCAAGGAAATTCTTTTGGATGACGTGTTCACGGTCGTCAGAAACACTGAAGCATGGCATTTTATATATATTAATAAAATGGTATCTATCAAAATCTGCTTGACTAATTTGTTTTGAAGTCAATTATGTTCAACATTTCAAAACGATGAATGAAAAGCAGTTTTGGGGCAACTGTCGTTAATAGTTATGCATGTTGTTGAATCGCATTGAAAGTCGTATCAGTCATGAACGTGTCATGGGAGGATTCGGTACTTGGGATGGCGAGAAAATGAGTGATGGTTCGGATCGTTGGTGAGCGAGTGCTTGTCATCTTTATACCTACATAGGATATATACTTGTTTGTGGTTTTTGACAAGATGCAGAAATATTGTGTTGACAGGCCAGACTTTTAAAAGTAAACAGTACAAAGAAGAGAAAATTTCTGTGGTTACAAATTAAAAGGTATCAAATTGCTAGTGATACTTTTTCGTTAGCTGTATTATATAAATGACATACTACGTATATAGGTTTGAGTGGCAATAAATCTGACACTAAAAGAACATGTTTGGTTAATTGGTACACTTGAAACATTGTGGTAAGAAAGGAAGCCATAAAGATTCATCAAATATATAAAGTAATCTGTGGTTTTACAGCTTAACGTGTTTTAATATAATTACTGCTAACATTTGGTGTTTCTCTTCATATTTGTTAGGCAGAACTGCTTTCATCTATACATAGAAAATGTTAATATAGCAGAGCTTTGAAAATTGTTATTAAACAGTACACATTGCACTGGTATTTCTATTGTGAAACCTTTCAGATTTTCTCTTTTCAAAAAAATATATAGGAGTGCTCAAGCCTTAATGAACTACATGAGGATGGAAAATACTACACTTTGTAATTAAAAAATTTGTTTTCAGTCCAAATTGACACCTTTTAAAAATTATTTTAAGATCTCGTAACTAACCTTGTCAAGAAAATTTGGATATCTTTAGATGTCCCCAAAACATTCTGTTTAAATCGATCTGAATAGTAGGTTCTTTGCTTTCATTGGATTTAAAGAAGGAAAAAAATGATTGAACTCATCTTCTGTGTCTCTACCATCCCAATACCCAGTATTATGGTCCTGAAAACTCGTGTCATGTGGTGGGACCACAGTCTTCACCGTCCCAATACCCAGTATTATGGTCCTGAAAACTCGTGTCATGTGGTGGGACCACAGTCTTCACCGTCCCAATACCCAGTATTATGGTCCTGAAAACTCGTGTCATGTGGTGGGACCACAGTCTTCACCGTCCCAATACCCAGTATTATGGTCCTAAAAACTCATGTCATGTGGTGGGACCACAGTCTTCACCGTCCCAATACCCAGTATTATGGTCCTAAAAACTCATGTCATGTGGTGGGACCACAGTCTTCACCGTCCCAATACTCAGTATTATGGTCCTGAAAACTCGTGTCATGTGGTGGGACCACAGTCTTCACCGTCCCAATACCCAGCATTATGGTCCTGAAAACTCGTGTCATGTGGTGGGACCAAAGTCTTCACTGTCCTACTACCCAGTAATATGGGGTGTGACACTAACTGTCTTCACTGTCCTAATACCCAGTAATATAGGATGTGACCCTAGCTGTCTTCACTGTCCTAATATCCAGTAATATAGGGTGTGAATACCCAGTAATATTGCTGTCTTGTCTTCACCATACCTAATATGTGACACTAGCTGTCTTCACCATATTACATGGTGTGTGACATGACACTAACTGTCTTCACTGTCCTAATACCCAGTAATATAGGATGTGACCCTAGCTGTCTTCACTGTCCTAATATCCAGTAATATAGGGTGTGACACTAACTGTCTTCACCGTCCTAATACCCAGTAATATTGCATGTGACACTAGCTGTCTTCACGTTCCTAATACCCAATTATATGGAGTGTGACACTAGCTGTCTTCACCATCTCAACCCCCATTACATGGTGTGTGACATTAGCTGTCTACACCATCCTAATACCCAGTTATATGGTGTGTGACACTAGCTGTCTTCACCATCCCAACCCCTAGTTATATGGTGTGTGACACTAGATATCTACACCGTCCCAATCCCCAGTTATATGGTGTGTGACACTAGCTGTCTTCACCATCCTAATACCCGGTTATATGGTGTGTGACACTATCTGTCTTCACCGTCCTAATACCCAGTAATATGGGGTGTGACTCTGAGGAGCTTATAGGCCAAATACAATGAAGGTGTTTCTAGTTTGTACTTTAACTATTAATACCTGTTCCTGATGAGTGTCATCCCATTATGTTGGACAGGTGTTGTGTTTATATTGTTGGTCCTGTACCTGGCACCGACCACCTCTGTAGGCTAAATGATCACCCTCTCCCAATACAATCTCTACTGCATTATCATTATACCCACCCGAAACACTTTTATGTTATTTAGAATTTTATTTACTGGAAATTGGTTTTAAACAATTACTGGACACACATGTTCGTTCAAGTATTGTTATGCTTTTTAATTTTAGCCCTTGTGTATAAAGATCTCTTTGAT